CTTGGAATAAAGTTAAAATTTAGTAATGACACAAATAATTTTTGTAGGTTAATGAATAACTTGATTTAGAGAAATAAACAATTCATTTTACCATAATTACAATATGAAATAAAATCAAGATTCAATAATAGTATAAACAACTTATGTAGGTCAATAAACAATTTGATATAGAAAAATGAATAACTCATTTTATCATGATTATAATACTTTGAATAAAATCAAGATTTAGTAATAACATAAGTAACTCTTATAAATCAATGAATAATTTCATGTAATAAAATGAACAACTTCAATAAAGAACCAGAAGAGATAAGGGACAATAAGATAATTTCACTTTGTATTTTAATTTCACTTTAGTACCCTAATCTAAAGTGAATTTTCAAAGTTTAAGTAGCTTTTTTTTTTATAAAGTGTGGTCAATGGGTCTTAAATGAAATTTTTTCTTGAACCAAAAGAGGTCATCATCTAACCCATTATTGATCAATTTTTCCTTGTTCAATATGAATCCAGCATACGTACATAATGACATAAAGTCAGCATCAAATTCACAAACTATGATCAACTTGAATATATATATATATATATATATTGATTGTTGGATAGGAAGGGACAATGAAAAATTAAAATTTTAAAATTTCTATCCTGATATGGATCAAACAGACTCATTTAAGTCAAGATAGTTAAAAGAATTACCTTTTAATTTTTTAAACTTAGCGCATGTTTTCTTCAAGAGTTTGAATCTCAGGAGCTGACAACGTAGATTTGCTCCCTCTACCAGTATTCACACGTATAGCTCTCTAACCCAAAAAGTGTGCTAGCGCTCCCAGCGTCCATTCTTCTTTGAACGTTAGTTTTCTTTTCTATAGAGTATTTTGTGGCTCTCAAAGTGTTTTTATTGTCAGAATTTTTCTAACTCGCTCATTCTACATAAAGGACATCCCTTAAAAGCTCGCAAAAATTTAATTAAATTTATCTCATAAATTTAATCCATGATGTCATATCTAATTTAAATTTATCTTATAAATTTAAATTATAAAACTAGCATAATATTCTCTCATATCATGTTAGTTATTAAATTTAATCTATCATATAAAATTAAATTTAAAACTAATATAATATAATATAATATATATCATATATACATATTATATTATATATATATACACGAATATATATACATTTGTATTTTGAAAAAAAAAAAATATATATATATATATATTATATTTAATTTTATATATCATATATATATACATCATATAATATAAATATATATATGATACGTATGAATATATATATATATATATATATAATTATATTTTATATTTTATATTTCATATAAATATAAATATATATACATTTATCAAATAAATATTCATATATATATATATATATAAATTCAATCACCCTATATTACATTCATTAAATCTTGACATGTTCTAGATTCAACAAATTTGAACATTATAACTTAAGTTAGCTATTTTTGTGTGCGACCCTGTAGGCCTATATAAAATTGAAAGTAGGCTAATTACGTTATTAGCTCAGAAGTCACAAGTAGCCTCTAGCAAGATATTACAACTACCCAATTCACATGGAGATCGATGATTCGATGTAACTTATCATGCAACTGTGTCATATTCCTTTTGTTACACAATATTTCAGTCAAGTATGAGATATGAAATTCTCATTCTCCTTTACCTGACCGTTGCTTTCTCGATCTTTGAGTGAATTGACAGTAGCAATAGAAAAACCCTTTTCATTGTAGTATGGCCATACATTTTCTCAGTTTTACTCATCGAAAGACCCATTAGTATCTCTCACTTAATGTGAGAGATAAATTTCATCTTGACCACTCATATTCCTCTGTATGAATATCATTAAACTCAATCATAACCATTATGATCACCTCATCAAAGGTGATTGTTGACTAGGTCAAAGTTTGGTGATCATCATGTAGGAATCTATGATGATCTCAAATCAAAGGGTTTAGTGATATAGTTATATATGAGGTAAACTTATGACTTGTACTATACAGTTTTCTCATAGCGGGTCGATCTAGCACCTTGCACTCTTTCAAGTGTTTATCACTTTGATTTGTATCTTTATAATTAATCAAGGTCATATTATTCTTGTTTTATCTATGATTTCTCATAAATAACCGACCAAGGATATTTAAGACAATCACTATAGTTTGTCCAAGAATACAATTATCATATTGAACATGCAATTGATATGACAATAAAAAAATTATTAAATAATAATGTGCATAGTACAATGATTGACTCTAGGGCACAATTTTTAACATATATAAATAATTTAGTATGGTATTTTTCTTATTTATGTGCTACAATAAATAATACTTTAATGGAGTACTTGAATTGCACTACAATTCAAGATGTCATTTAATTTAAATTATTCATACAATTATATATGCACTTTGAATTTGCGAGTCACATTTGGATTAAGGTGATTAAGATTTCATGAAAGTATTAAATAAATCTAATAAAATCTTAACCATATATACAGTTTGATATTGGGTTGATTTAAACTTATCGATGGGCACGCACACTCATCTTTATTCATATTTTTTTAGTTAAAAATATAACATATTTTTAATTGAATTATATTCTTAAAAAGTTAATTAATTATCTTTAAATTAATATTAGTTTTGCCTTTGTTTAGTATGATATCTTACTTAAAGGTAAATCGCGGAGTGATTTTTTTCTTAAGGCTATTTTTTTTAAAAAAAAAAACTCATCAGTTACATATTGAAAAATTAAAACACCTTATATTTTTAACATCTAACATATAAAATGTCTTATGAGTATTTAATTTGACCCACAATGGTGTCGTAATTTACAATTCAAAGAACTTACATGCATGTAGTGATAATATTCAAAGTTATTGTTGAAAATATTTTTTTAAAATTTATTACTTTCAAAGTTTTTGATGATGACTCAACATTTATGGTGACGTTTTTAGTTTAGAAGTGGCTAATAAAGATTAATATTTATTGACATCTTGTTAATCACCTAACTGCGACTTTTTAATGCTTCAAGAGATATTTTTTCCTTATATTGTCCCTACTCAAGATTATATTAATTATGTACTATTTACTGTGGCTTAGCGCAACGACTTTTAATTTAGTGCCATACGCATCCGAAGTAAACGAGCTAGAAATTTATTCAATATAAATATACCTACTCTAGTTTCTAGAATTGTTTAAAATAAGTTGTTATTTCAAGTATTGCTGCCATCAATTTAATGTTAAAAATATATACTGCTATTTCTTTAATGAATTTGAATATTTTTTATGAACAATTGAACACACTAATAATTTTTAATTATAGACTAAGCTTTCAAAAAAAAAATCTCTTATTGACCAAAATTACATGGCAGCTGTCAGAAAATAATAATATAAATTACTCTCTTTGAACCACAATATAAAGCATTTCCTAAAAGCCTTGCTTAATCCAAGATATGGGACACCAGGTAGATTTTATATATTTTTCAATTATATATTTACTTTATTATATTTTATTCAAGTGATTAATGAAGGTGTTTTGAGAAGTCAAATATTATATTTATTTCATTTAAGAGTATGATTAGAAAAATGTGAAAAAAAATTTTAAAATTAAAATTTTAACTACCTATTTTTTAAGAAACAACATTAATTTATAGTTAGATACCATAGAGCTCTATCAATAAAGAAGTCAGCCTTTTCTCTAGCTTAGATTTGAGAGTTTATCATCATCATCATCATCATCATCATCTTCTTCTTCTTCTTCCCCAACTCTCTAATAATCAAACTTAGAGCTATTAAACCCTATAATCGAAATTATCAATCCAGTTGAGAGTAAAGTGAATTTCTACGTTGGTCAGTTAGTTCATTTATGTTTTTTTTAAGAAAAGAGTGATATTAAAAATATAATTGTGCAATCAAGAAGCGCTTGATTCAGTTAGTCGAGAGAGTTAAAATAAACTTAATTTGAAATCTTGGGTTCAAGTTCTGAGACATGCAACTATGTTATGTTGAAGACACACTTGAGGCAACAATAAGGCTGCCATTAGAAAAATGATCTCACATAATGAAGGGCTAGATTGGTTTGCACGGGATGGAATAAAAAAAAAAAATAGTTGTGTATGAGATTTGTGTTCTTCTTTTGGTTCCGTTCATGGGCTACAATAAGGGGAGGCGAGTAAATTTGGATAAAAAACTAAAATTAATATCTGCAAATAGTTTTAATGATTGTCTATAAATATATGTTCGGATTAAACTCTCATAAATTTAGATAATGACAATGTATTTGGAGAATTAAAAGTGTTGTCTAGAAAATATAATCCCCTTTTTTAAAATCATGCATAGGTTGAATGATGTAATCTTTCTTTTATACAATTCGTTTCGAGTATTGTTCAAGCCAAATAGAGCTAGTGTAAAAAAAGAAAAAATAGATGACAAAACTTTATTTGTAGTCCCTTAAGTTTTAATGAATTTAGGTGAAGGTCCCTGCAATGTTTTCATTAATGAATCGCTTACGAGGTAATAACGTGTCACTAATGTGGAAATTTCAGGAACCGGTTCCTTTGTTTTTTTTTTCCTTTTTTTTAATAATTCAAATCTTTGAACTAACAAATGGAATTAGACAATTTAACTCAACTGAACCATGATCACTAGTAAAAATTGAGGAAGCATGTGTAAATACAACTTTTTATCCTTTCCAAACAAAGCCTGTCCGGCCCCATATCATCATTGTTAAATATATATATATATATATATTGTTGCAGATGAGATGAACAACTTGATGAGGAAGCAGAAAGATGGCCATGAATGAAAATCTTCAAGCTTCTAGCTATCCCCTGTTTCCTATGCTTGTGTGTGTGTGGACATTTAAAAAAAAAAAAAAAGTTTAAAGGGACAAGAAACCATATATCCAGTTTGAATGAGTGATGTCTCATATCATTATCACAAAAGCCTAAACTCAATTATTGGACAAACCAGAGAGTTAATATCAAAAACCTCATAAAATCATACCAAAAAATAATCATATATTACTATGTCAACCATTTTTTTTCTGTACACTATAATACTTTAACAGTAATCCCAAAGTCCAGAGAGAAAAAACGCAAAAAGAAAGAGAACCCAAAAAAAGTTGTTCAGTCCTTTCAAGGATCTGATCTGCTTCTGCTTCGTATGAATACAAAACCAGAGAAAGAAGAAAGTGAAAGGAATGAGAAGAAGAAGAAGGAAAGTGAATTAATATATAAAATCATACAATTGATGAAGCAAAAAGTTGTTTTTATTAGTTGTGAGGCGTAGAATCCACAACCGAGTTGTGTCTCTTGGAGGGACCTGAAGGTGGGATGGGGATTCCTTTGGGGAAGAAATTGAAGACCAAGCCTCCCCTGGTGCTGTAGTATTGATTCTCATTTCTTTTCAGAATCTGATGGTCTGATGAGCTTTCTGATCCAGAACTGGTTGTTTTCCCTGTTCTTATTGCACCACATGAGCCACTTAGAAGAATCAAGACCATGAACAGAACCAGCACCCACATGCTGATCGATTTGCAATGAAGAAGATGCAGAGATTTAGAAGAAGAAGAAGAAGAAGAAGACGACGACGACGACGAAGCCATTGTAAGACGGGGCCTGTGCTTAATTAATTAGCTGCCTTGCATATATATGAATGAATTAGAGGTTCAAGGAAGATGGGTTTCTATTCTTATTTATTTGCTTATTTCCTGGGTCAATGTTTTTGGAGAGAGAATGAAAATCATGGGTTATATATACATACATATATACATATATATATATATATAATCTACGCCGAAAAGTTAAATAATTAATATTATTTTTTAAAAATTACGAATGTATTTTTTTTGATACATCATTTTTATAAACCCTTTCTCCCTCATGTATAATATTTTAATCTAATTATTAAAAAAATTATACAATGGTAAAATTGAAAAAAAGTAATTAATAATTTATCTTTTTATACAAAATAACTTACAAAAATGATTTATATATAGTTCAGAGAGAATATATGTGTGTAAGTTTGCATGGGAATGAGCAAAATTAAACTAAAAATTTGTCTAGTTTATTTATATTTAATTTTTTTATTTAGAAAATATCAGTCAACTCTTATTTTTAATTTCATTATTTATTTTTGCTGCTACAATAAGTTTGAATTTTTTGAAGCAATCATTTGGAAATTTAATCATCTCTAAAACTGAGTGATAATTTTAGAAAGGGATGAGATTAAGCACAAAAAGAGATAAAAGGGGGAAAATAAACAAAAGGGAAAGTGTATAAATTATAAACACAGAAAGATGACTCCAATAATAACATCTCACTTTTTTAAAATTTGCGTTACTTTCTGTCAATACATAATTATATAAATGCAAATATTCTAAAAGTTTCGCCGTCTCTAGGTAAGCGTACGTCAAGTATTTAATGTTTTTTTTTTCCTTATTAGTTACATAAAGAAAAAATTGAGAAAGGAATTAAAATTAAAAGAGAAGTATTGAGAGGCACGCCATCGAGTAAAGACTAAAGAGAAAAAAAATGTCAACTATTTTGAATAAAGAATGATAAAAAAGTACAAATATATTTGGCACCGGCTGTACACTTGGACCTCAACACACCAATTATTTTTCTTTTATGCCCATTATATTTTCTCACTTCTTGGTGTGTAAGATATTGATTCTTATATATATCTTATATTCTTCTTCTTAATTTCTAAGTCAATGAGAACGATTTTCCAGGAAAATATTTATACACTCCATACCTATGCGTGTGCAATTCAGAAAGCTGAAAATTCAATCACATGTTAGCGCGCGTGCTTGGAAAAAAATATGTAAATTAACCGACCTGTTTTTATTGAGTTGGTGTGATCCAGGTCCTATTTTTTCAAACCTAACTCTAAGAAATATAAATTAACATAAATTATAATTTCAAGTTTGATATTTATACATATGGACCAATAATTCAACAAGATTGTAATATGGGGTTTCTGACTAAAATGTGTATTAATTATTATGGACCACAAGTTGATTCTTTTCAAGTGTTCAATTGAGATATAAATTGATAGCAAAGTTGGGTACAATTTGTGGGGGAAAAGAAATGTGAGAGATCACATTTCTACATATATATGCTTTAGAAGGTTGATAATGTAGTAATATAAGTTGCCCATCCCCAAACAATATTGGTGATGCTTTCATTCATTCCAAATTTAGGCAACATGGAAGAGCCCTTTTTTGAAAGAGAGACTCTAATTATTGGCAATTTTACAGTGAAAGTGAAAGCAAACAAAATTGAAGTAGATCTATAGAAGCCACTTTGCATAGCCTCAAAGCAATTAATTAAAGAAAAAATACTCTCAAATCCCATACAAATAATCTAAATATAAAAAGTCTTATGAAATAATAAAATTATTCTATAGTCTCATGTCTTTTATTAAAGCTATCAATTTGCTATATTGAAATTGTCAACTATTATTAGATAATTGTTAGTGAAACTGTTTAGTTGATAATTAAATAGCAATAACTAACTACTATTCGTCAGTAATTGACAACTTTAATAAAAAAAAAAGGAGATTTCTAAATAATTTTGTAATTTCACTAGAATTTTTTATATTAAAATTGCTTGTATGAGAATTAATTAAGAATGAATTTCTCTTAAATAAATAGTGTTAAAATCAAACAATTTTTTTGGTATCAAATCACCCTTTACCTGAAAATCACACTAGACTCTGCTTAATTATCTAAGTTGAGTTAATAATTATTTAGCACAATTGCATGTCCAATATTTAAACTTAGGATTATTGGTTAAGTTAGTAAAATTGTTTAGCAGCTGAGTTACATGTTTGCTAGTGACCACATAATTGTTATATCATTCAAAATTTTTAGTCACAAGTACCAAAATGAGTGTAATTTTAATTTTGCACATATAGAATTAAACTGCTTTCTCTTTATGATTGAAGGGAATTTAAAAGAATTTGAAAAGCTAGTATCTTTTCGGTGAATTGCCAAATCATATAATGCATTATAAATAACAACATTATTGGGGGATAAAGATATGTGTTGGATAGATGGCCAATTATTCAAGGGGGGCATACTTTTACATGCTTGAGACACTCTTACAAGTAAGAAGCCATTCTTGTGGGGTCCGCTTATCCTTCTTGTACAATACTCCTCTTATGAATTCAACTGTACATTGACACTGATACATAGACCATTGATTAGGGATCTCATTGGCACGCATAAATTCATTTTTCTTCTATTCTATTTTTTAATTAATGCCTAGCATTATTTATTGACATCTCTCTCTTTAATTTTTTTTTAAAATTGTTCATAGATATTATTGTTATTGGACTCAATTTTATTCAAAGTATGGTCAAGTATTAAATGTGAGTATATCTTTCAATCGAAAATTCAAACTTTAGTTTGTCATGTTGTGAAGAACTAATGCCTTCTACTAAACTCGACTCCTATTAGCCTTGAATATTTAAATTCAGGGTAAGACTTATGTATTTAATTTTATATACTTAATATATCTTTACTCAATCAAATTGAGACAAATGAATTATAATGTGTTAATAATATTAATAATAAGATTTTGTCGAAGAAAAATAATTTATAAAAAATATACATGTTTTGGTTTAATTGAAAATAAGCGTTTTGAATATATAAGGCTAAATATATATAAAAAAATTTCTTAAATTTATTAGCTAGATTTCACTCCGTCCGTACGTTTTAAAATGTTTTTTTCTTTTTGGGGAAAAAATCATTTTATTTGTCTTTTTAAACTTCCAAAACACTATTTAATAATATTTTTTCTCATTTTATCGTTAGGTAGCATTTGTATGGGTGAATTTGAATTTGAATTTTACATTAAAAATATCATATTTTAAATCTTACTTTGAAAATTTATGTATTTAAAATTCTTTACTTGAATAGTTTAAAAAATTTTAAATAAATTAACTCGGGGTAAATACTATAATGGTCAGATAGTGTTCAAGTTCAAACTTTCAATTCAAATGATATGTTTTTCAAGTAAAAATATATAAAATTGACTAATAAGCATAGGTAACTAATTGAAATGGAATTAATTAATTAAGGCAAGGATCGATGAGAGATATATATTACATAGCGTAAGAAATGAAAAGGTGAAAGTCTTCAAAGGTGACAGATCTTAAACCAAAGGATTACGTGTGGTAGTTGCCTGCTCATTTGTGAGTTGGGGCGCAATTTAAGTTGAAAAATAAAAATGATTTTATATAACAGAGATTTTATTATTCAAATTAATTTGGACTAATTATTAATTAATAATGCATAGGGTGATGAGACAGGTAAACACAAGGTTTATAAAAAATTAAACCGTGTATCGTGGAAGCTGTTTGTTGAAACAATTCATTCTGATATATAATTACTTAATATTTATTTAATCAGAAAAATTAACTCTAATATGTGTGTGAGTGTGTGTGCATGTGTGATCAAATAATATAAAATATAAATATATGTGGATGAGAAGGATTGAGAGCGAATGAAGTTGGATTGCTTGAAAGAGGAGAATTGTTTGATGTTGTGGGAAGGAGGAACAGTTTAGTAATTTGGGCAAACATTCCAAAGTGAAACTGCACATGCACGCTCTCTCTCTCTCTCTCCCTCCCTCCCTCCCTCCCTCCCTCTCTCTCTCTCTCTCTCACATGCACCCCTTTGACCTGGTCAAAGAAAAAGAAAGCAACTTTTTGTAAGAAAACGGCGAAATAATGTTTATATATAAATTACTTGTCAACTTTCAATTTTAATCTTACTTCAAGTAATGGCCTTAATATGCGTTTTGGTGCAAGTAAACAAGTACTCACCCACATGTACTTTACTTACATTAACGGATAAGGGAGTTAATATATCTCTAAATAAAAAATCTCAAGTTTGAATCTTGAGTATGTAAAAAAAAAAAAAGTACTCCCTTTTATTTATCTTAAATGTAAAATCCTCTTAACTAATTTGTACAATAAAAGAATAGGTTGGTTAATTTATTTTTTTAATTAATATATGAAGAATTTATGACACTTTTTCAAAAGGTTCCCAATTATTTAATGATTAAAAATAAATTTAATGCGTAGAGATAAAAGAATGCCTCCACAAATAAGGGTATTATGAGAAAGAAAAATTTGACATGAAAGACAAGAAAAGATGAAACATTATATTTAAGTAGAAAATGAACCTTATATTTAAGACAGGAGAGAGTAACTTATGTATAGAGACCATAGATAATTAGATATAGCTAGTATGTGATAGTATATTCCCACGTCTTAAATATATTAGGTTATCACTATCATCCTCCTCAACCTCACCAAGATTAAGAAAAATAATTAAAACAATTAAAATCGTTAAATTTGTCTTAGTTAATATTCCAGAAATGCCTCCATTATATTTAAAGATTAAAAATGCTATCATTAAATTAACTATCATTAATTTGGCCAAAAAAAATTAACAATCCTTAATTAAGTTAAACAATCTCTCTCTCTCTTTCTTATTTTAAAACCTGAAATTAATAGCATAATAAAATAATTATTATTAAGTGGTAGTATTACAGGAGAAAAAAATTAATAATTAAGACATTTACCACCAGTAACTCAAGTTCCACTTATAAGGAGACTTTTTCATTGATTTGAGTCATAGATGATGATGGGATCTTTCATATACAGACCCATTAATTAGTCACAATATTTCT